ATAAATAAATCTCCATAGACAATCAAACTAGACGATGGCCAATACATCTTCCGTTTCATTTTTGACACCCCCACCTTTCCCCGACTTGACACCTTGAAAGTATCTCTATACCGCTACTCAATATAAACACCCTACACTCGCCTACCCAATTTAGAAAATTCACCATAGCTGTTACCATGGGGATTTTGATTTCAATTTTAAAACAAGTAAATTTCAGATATACGTTATTCCAACAAAAATTTCGCTTGAAGATGGAACGGAGCCCATTTTACTTTCAACTCAATTTAATTTAAAGGATTATATTGAAGTTTTCGGCTCTAGTTTTGAAACATGAGACCTCTTATGTAGCGATTTGGAATCATATTTTTAAATAAATAATTATATTTATGCTCTACTTTTGTATCGAGCACTATTTTTTAAAAATAATAACTAAAATACTAAGGGACTTTGGATTATTTACCTAACCAGTTCCTTCCTATTTTCTATATATTTTCACACACACACACATATATATATATATATATATATATATATATATGTGTGTGTGTTCGTGTGTGTGTGTGTTTGTGTGTATATATATATATATATATATATATATGTGTGTGTGTGTGTGTGTGTGTGTATGTGTGTGTGTGTGTGTGTGTGTATACGTATCTGTGTATATACACACATAGAAAACGATGCAATTTAAAATTTGACGCAGTTACTTCTGTTTATGCCAGCAATAGAAAAACGTATCTGTTTTTCTAAACTTAATTACTTGTAAATCATTGAATTTGGTCCGATTGTGCGTATATTGCTCACTGTTCGTGTAAGATTTATTCTACTTCGAATCTGGTCGAGCTAAACGTGGAGATAACAATGACAACCCCGCCAGCCATACGTTTGTATTCACCGACATATGCAACAAGAGATAAGAATGCTGGATACTAAATCGTGTCGTCTGTTCGTCTGGCGTTATTTCCTTCTCTTACGAAAAAGAGTGATACTCAAATTCAATCGATATTCGATATACGAACTGTTTTTTGCAACAGTTATTGCCACTTAGAGTGTTTATCAAATAAATATATCAAAACTTTTCTCTAATCAGTATAAATCACGCTGTTAATTCAGTAAAGAATGAGAAAAATAAACGATAATTGCAGTAGCAATCCAACATCGTTAGATTCTGGGCTCAATATACAAAGATAAGTTATGGGAAATTTCGCAATTCCTTTATTTCTTCGGCCTTTTTGCTTTCGTTTTTTTTATTTAGTTAACAAACTAAATATTTCTAGCGGCAAGTGAAAATATATTTGAAGACGAAGAACAGAATTCTTCGACTTTGAGAACACGATGATCATTGGAAAAACGTTCTTGATAGAAGGTGACGAATGAAGTTCAACTTTATGAAGCGAGTAATCACATGCATTGCCAGTGGTCAGGAATTAATCTAAATATCGTTGATAGAATTAATTGTATTATATGAATATATAAAATACATTACTATTGATATTGCAAGAGAAAAACATTGAAACTCAGGAAGAAACGGATTGTCAGTGTATGTATGGAAATGTTATTGAATGAATTAAGGCTGTTTTCACATAGAGTAAATTATTTGGCAATGATGTTGCGATAAAAAAGCATTATAATCTTGAAGAAACGGATTATCAATGGTCAGGGGGTTTTGCGAGCACTCATTTGAAAGAAAAGAGGCCTAATTTAATCAGTTTCAAATTTGTGTTAATCTACGGTAGCACGTGGCAAAGTTCACATCTGAAATGTTCATCATCCTTAGATTACTTGCTCTACCAAATTATCAGCGATTCTGGAAATCATAGATCGATCTTGAATGATTAGTTCTCAAACGACATGAAAACGTGGAAACCGCCCACGTTATATTCTTTTCTATTTATTGTTTTAGAAAATGCTATTACAAATCTTATGAGTTGTTAAAACGAGCTTTCTACTAAAAATGGATGCCATGATAATGAAAAATTCCAATAAAACAGGATTTTTTAATGTTTTCTGACAATATTTACAAACGTTAATGATGACAGGATAACATTTTATATATATATATATATATATATATATATATATATATATATATATATATATATATATATATATATATATATATATATATATATATATATATATATATATATATATATATAATATATATATATATATAGAGAGATAGATAGATAGATAGATAGATAGATAGATAGATAGATGGGGGTGTGTAGTTGAAATTTTAACTAGTATATATCTGCAAAAGGATATGAATAAAGATAAAAGAAAAATATCTTAAGAGACGCGTTTTGTCCTCTGGTGGACGTTATCAAGGCATACGCAGGGATTTTACTTTGTAACAAGTATTTATAGACAAGTGCATAAATGTTTCAGTTTTTCAAATTTTTTAAATTAATTTAAATATTTCTATCTATCTATCTAGATTTCTCTTGATATGCATATTAGGAAAACTCGAATGACTTCGGAATCTTCTGCATCTCGTCTGGACGCTCTCTTTTTTTTATGTTGCCTTCAATTCATCTTTGTTGTTACAAGAATTGGTCTTTAACTCAACTGCGCCCCATGCATAATAATTAATGGGATTGCAGTCAGGGATTTAGGTGCCCAGGTTCTCTTACTTGTGTGGTATCTGTCTCCAGATATAGGGTCTACCAGCAGCCACCCTCTTGCCCCAGGGCAGCACTACCTCCTCAGGGCACTTGATATAAGTCTTCGTGGTGAAGAGGAAATATGAATGGGGCATAACTTCGCTATCACTAATGATCACGCCAAACACCTTCGTAGTCACCATTAGACTCATCTAACTCTACCTTTCCGAATCCTATTCGTTATCCACAGATTGACTCCGAAACTCTCTGAAATGTTCGTATTGGAGCTTTCGGCGCGAATGGCAAGCAGTACAGCATGCCGTTTCCAAATTTCTGGCAGAATGCATTGCAACATAAAAAAGATTCCGATCGTGAAAAAATTTAGTTATCTGGTTTGATTAGTCTTACTCTTATGTCCATCGTCTTTTTATGTTGAATTAAATATAGTCTAATGTTAATTATGGTTTATGAATATGTCCTGAAGATGGTCTACTAGACCGAAACGTCCGACGTTGACATTATATTAACATTAAAATAGCATAATTGCATATTAGGATTTTTTTTGTTTTTTCCATATATTTTTCTTCATATATATATATATATATATATATATATATATATATATATATACTGTATCGCACAATATCAGTTACTTCATATTTTATCGATATATAAAATAAATACTGGAAACTAAATGTTTAATTTTTGTATGATGGCGACCGCTATCTGCGCAGCTTGAATAAAAAATTGTTTGTTTTGCACAGCTGTAAACAAACAGTAGTTATTTGTATGACATTTCCAGAATTTCGAAGTTGTCAAATGGAAGAGATTTTAAATGTTTTGCGAAGCTGTTTTAATGAACAAAGGGAAATGTTTAATAAGCTTAGAGGCTACATAAATGAAAACAGGATTAGATATAACAAAAATGATCAACATTCACAACGGAATTTTGATATTTCCAATGCACGTCAGGCAAAAGCTATTTGAAGTGTAAACTCGATAATTTCTACCCTGTATCAGGAAACAATTTTTTAAGAAATATCAGTTTTTTTTTTAATCTATGAAGTTTTTAGGTGTTGTGGCAATGTAAGAGAGTCGCTGAGTCCTAAATCATGTGGTAAGACATAACACTAAGTCTTCTTGAAAAGAAATTCATACGGAAATGCGTATGACCTCGGCAATAGAATCAGATAAAAGCCGACATTTCCTCCTTTTTGCTAGCTGTGCCAGTCTCAAAGAATCGGACGGTTGGAACATAGCTGGGTGGCTTTTTTTTCTGATACATGTTCTCTCAATACAAAATCTAAGAGCCACTCAAGCTAGAGGATTTCTGAATGAGGTTGTTGTGTGGATAAAGAAGAAGAAAGTAAACATGAAATGTTCTCTACCCAAACAAGAAATGCTTTCAAAATAAGTCTTCCAAGCATCAGAATAGTCAGTCTTTCTCCTTATCCCCTTTCTCCTATCTGGAGACAGCGGCGGAAACGTCTTTGAAGGCCTAGATTAAACCGGAATAGTAGTCAAAGAAAGTTTGACGATGCCATTGATGTGAATTTCTTTTTCTTCTGTGCGAAGTCAGAAACACCCCTACCCGAAAGCGAGAATTGGGGACTTGAGACAAGGGCATTGAGACAGTAAAGATTGCATTAGTTGGGAATTACTGAATGAATTTGGTGTGTGAAAATAAGAGGAAATAAGTGCAGATTATTAGGATATGTAGGATAAACAGCTTGATTCTAGTGTTCCCGACTTTCAGATCGCATCCCGGGCTCATCCTCTTACTGACGGCCATGGGGATGTTCAAATATCTTGGAAGCATCTTGACAGAGGATGGTAAGAGATCTGTAGGCGTATTGGGATGGCCAAGTACACATTCCAAAAGTTGGGCTGCGAGACAGGAGGATTTCTTTGGTAACACTGAACTGTTACGTGGCATCTGTCCTTCTTTACGGCAGCGAATATTGGACGATTTCCCCAAAGATGAAGAAGAGACAGAGATGTGGTTCTACAGAAGGATGCTAAGGATATCATGGACCGAGCGTGTGAGCAACGATGAGATCTTAGAGAGGTTGCAAACAAGGAGGAGGCTTGTACTTAATATCACGAAGATGCAGCTGGAGTTTCTGAGACGCATAATGAGGAAGGAGGGCCTGGAGAATCTGATACTCACGGGTCAAATAGAGGGAAAGAGAGACAAGGGAAAGCAGCGTGTGACATACCTGGCGAGCTTGAGCAAGTGGGTGACGGAATGTGGTCTGGGAGAGGAAGCAGAGGGAAGGAATTTGTTGAGCGCTGCAAGGAATAGGGGGAAGTGGAGAACTATGATCGCCTATGTCCTGAAAGGACATGGCACATAAAAAGAAAAGAAGGGTAGACATCAGATGACCCGATGGCTTACGGCAATATTACGTTGGAAAACCGGTTCCCGTATGATCACCGAAGTTAAACAACGTCGAGCCTGGTCAGTACCTAGATGGGTGACCGCTTGGGAATACCAGGTGCTTTAAGCTTGGATGTGCGGGTGGTGTAATGGATAATGGCTGAGAATTGTTAATCGGAGAGCCGAGATAAAATTTCAGTTGGATTCGCTATATTAATTTACGCGCAAATGCCCTTGAAAAATAAAATGCCCTCTTCTTCCCCCAGCTATGGGTGAATTAGTAAAAGTTGATCGCTAAATCATTATTATCTCCACGCAAAAAAAAAAAAAAAAACTTAAATCTAAATCTATTTTCTGGCTTTAAATAACCTGCAAAGGGTCGATAATCCGTAGAAAACTAATCAATTAATGACCTGAGAGTTGAAGACGTTAAGAGGTCACTAACTAAGAGGTTCGAGAAAACGCTGTCAGGAGTCTGTTCTACAAAGCAGCGGTTCTTGGGAACAAGGTGTTGGCATAAAAATCTTTTCTTGTGAAGTGCCAAGAAATATTATATTATATGCATGCAACAAGCAGTGTGAAAAGGGGAAAAGCGAGGAGGTCTTACTTGTAATATTTCCCAAAAGGAAAACTGGCAGACTGGTAGTGTCATTTATGTAATAGTGAGACCAAGTAGTTTCCTTTGCTCTCTTAACTGCCATAGGCACTCATATTATTTTCCAAGCATGCTGTATGAATTTAGATAGAAAATGCAACAACGAGATCCGAACACTAGCGAAAGAAGCTTTCCAAAATTGAAAATACTGAAATTGAAACAACTTTAAATCAATTCCTCTATTGTAATAAAAGTATTTGATGTAATGGGGGTGGTAGACAAGAAGAAATATTTCCAGTTTGGATTTCCCCATTATGGGCATTAGTATAACCATGATATAGTAACACTTTAATACACAAAAGTAACGGAAGAGCTGAAAGGACGGAATTATAAACATTTCTTATTCTCAAGGATATTTTATAGACTGTTATATCATACAAGAAATTATAAACAAATATATCTATCAGTTAGTCAGTGATACATGCTAGGGTGATCATGTATCTTTCGATACATAACTGATGAGGCAGATTTTTTTTCCCCGCAGTAGGTTGTCATTTCTTTCTCTCTATCCAAGAACCCGGTCTGTCCATAGCTGGGGGGAAAAGAAGAGGATTCATACCTTTCCCAAGGGTATTAGCACGTAAGTTAATATAATGGATTCGACTAGAATTCGAACTCGGCTCTCCGATTCCTCAGTCTGAGCCGTTATCAATCACTCCACCGTGCCTCCTACTTGTCACTAATTCGACCCTTACAAAGAAATTGTAACATAAGAATAAAACAAGCAGAGCAGAAAAGCAAGAAGCCAGAGGGCGCTACTTGTAATATTTCCCGAAGGGAAAAAGGCCATGCCGGTGGTATGTTCTTTGAAGTTCGAATTACCATACTGGCTCTTCTCGCTACCACTGTGGGCTTAATATTAAGTCTAACGCTTTAGCAGTCTCTATTATTGTAACCCCCTTTTCCCCAAAGGCGTACAGCCATACAATTCTGACCCCATCTCTCGTAGATATCGTTACCTTGGGATGACTGAGGGGTCAGGTTGGTTACATATTTTTAAACTGGGCAAGGAGTTGATGCCAATTAGGTCGTCGGTCGTCTAGTGTTGCTGTTAAGTGTGGCGTTTCTTCCTGACAAGAAAAGGAGGGGGTTACACTTCTACTTGATTCAGTAAGCCGTGGTATTTTCTTTGACGACTGGGCTGAAGGAGAGGAAGTCGTGCTCTTGTAGGGAGTTGAAAAGGATAGGTTTAATAATAGTAAATAAAGACATACTATTTACAAAAGTTTGATATAGCTTAACACCTCTGGAGGGTGTAGATACTTGGGACCAAAGCGTGTATTCTCAAACATTTATCAGAGAATGAATCATCGAGGTAAGATCAGGCGGGTGTGAATTGCGTGTGTGTTGATCAGCAAATTTTCAATATATCTCTCCTGTTGATCCTTCCGACTGGCTTTTGGCTGTCTCTTGGCTGTCTTTCAGCTACCTCTCTCTGTCGTTCGGCAAAACGATGTATATATAAGGACCCATCTACCCACGCATTTTATCACCCTCGTTTGATCACAAGAATGGTAAAAAAGGGTTATTTCTGTTACGGTTTTTTGTGTATATTACATATAACTAGTGAGCGAATCAGAATGACTTATTTCCCTTTATAGTCTACCAATAGAAGATTAACCAATCAGGAGCCGCACAACACTGTATCCGTCTTGTATAAAGGCGGCCATCTTTGTTTTCCCACCGGAATGACCTGAGCCAACTTGTCAGGCGAACACGACAGAAGGAAGAACTACACTCTGCTGTGATATCCACTGCTAACATGAACTACGCTTTCCTACTGTCTCCGAAATATTCACTGCCAACCTCTGGATTCTATACTCGAGGACGACCGTCATGAAAATGTCTAACAATTTCCTCTGTTTTTTTTTTGTTTTTTTTTTTAACTTATCCAGGCTTTAAATATCACCAACTTTCAAGGCCATTTGAATTCAAAATAACAACATTAAATATTCGTCTGATAAGCTTTTAGGTGGACATAAAATAACAAATGTTTTTACCTGTCAAAATCTGAAAGTCCTTTGAACAACAGATGTTTTTCCAATCAAATTTCCTGGGAAAATCTGACTTCACGAAAAGATTAAAACTTATAAATTTTTCTATTCCACTTGCTACCACCGAAAAAAAAAAAATATATACAAACACTTCCCTAACAAACTAGTTGCCTTGTTGCATTATCAACTGGCGTGAGCAGACATGACTCCACTCCCCCGTGCTAAATAGCAACTACGCTTTTTGCCACCTCACGAACTTACATCGTTTTCCGGTCATCACATGACTACTGTGACTTCGTCTTAGCAAATGGAGATAATCGTCTTTCTCCGCCTTACAAGTAATCCGTCTCTAA